ATGCAGGAGCTGCCCCCTGATGATCAGTACACTCCCACCGGGGGAGCACTGCACAACCAGAAGCTGGGCTCCTGGCTGGCAAGTGCAGCAGCCGTGGCGGGAGCCTTTCCCACCTCCTCGGCAGCGCTAAGGATGTCCAACTGACAGCTTAGGCCCCAAGGGCTCCTGGACTGCAAGAGGGTGCAAGCCGAGCTGAGGGACCCTATTCCCCGAGTGCACTAATTTTATGCACCCAGGCCTCTAATATAAAGTAATGTCCCTAGCTGGTTTAGCACAGTAGATAGAGCATCAGCCTGAGGACTGAAGGGTCCTGGGTTCAATTTCGGTCAAGGGCATGTACCTCAGTTGCAGATTGATCCTGGCCTTGGTTGGGTGCATGCATGTCTCTCTCACATAATGTTTCTCTCTGTCTCTTCCCCTCCCTTCCACTCTTTCTAATCAATAGGAAAAAATACCCTCGGGCAAAGATTAACAAAACAAACCAAAATATATGTAATAATGCCACATTCTCCTTAAACTTTGGAGAAATATAAGGGTTTTTCCATTAAAAATACATTTTCATGTGAACTTTTAATGGTTTATTATCTTTAATGAATTAATAATCTTCTCAGTTTTAAATCATAGGGCTTTAGGCAAAGGTGGGCTGCAGGTTCCACCGCTCGGGGCCAGGGAGTCAGTGCTGGCAGGTAAAGCTCGAAGGAGCCTCCTTTCAGACAGTCACCCCTGCCCCGTTTGCAGTGCTGACCTGGGCGCGTTTCTCTCAGCAGGAGTGGGTAAGCTGCAGTCCCTCTTTGCTTAGCCGTCCCGTTGTGTGATAGCAGCCCCGGAGAATAGCCACGTCCCTGAATTGACCAGGGAACCCATTTTCTCAGCAGACCCTCTTGTTCAAGAAGATAAATTACAGCACAAAAGCTCAACCGTCTCCCCTTCTGACATTTCTGCAGCTAATTAGTTTCTGCCGTTACATTCCATCTTCTGTTTCTCTTTGGAAAAAAAACACACAAACATAAATACCTTTTTACATACCCAGACTCCCGTTCAGTTTTCACAAGCAGGAGCAGCTCCAGTGTCTGTCCTGAGCGTGTGACCAGGGCCTCAACGCCGCATTTGATACCCCATTGTATGCATTTACTCCTATGGCACCGCGAGTCTGCTCAGAGAAGGCCCAGTTACAAACAGAATCTCTAAAATAGTGATTTTATCTTCAAATGTCAGTTCCGTCCAGTTGTAAGAACGATCGCCACCACGCACTGCGTCCCTGCTGGTCCAAGCGCTGTGTGCGGTGCCTGACCATGCCGCCACCTCCGCCCACCAGCCTGGCTCCTGGGGGCCAGCGCCGAGGGGACCAGCCAAGCGGGCATTTCATCCTGACTGACTCCAGGGCTCATGCTTCCCCTCAAGCAGCTGCCCCCTGGTGGTCAGTGTGTTTCCACAGGGGGAGCGCCGCTCAGCCAGAAGCTGGGCTGACGGCTAGAGAGCGAGGTGGCAGTGTTGGGAGCCTCTCCCCTCCGTGGCAGCACTAAGGACCCCTCAGGGGGTGTCCGCCTGCCAGCTTAGGCCCACTCCCCACAGGGAGCAGGCTTTGGACATCCGCCGAGGGGTCCCAGACTGCGAAAGGGCACAGGCCAGGCTGAGGGGATCCCCCCCCCTCCAGTGTATGAATGTCGTGCACCAGGCCTCTAGTTCTATTATAAAAGTCTCCCCAAGTCCTGCCAATGTTCCCTTCTCATAGCCTCAGTTCCTTTCTCAGCATCCTTTCTGACCCTGTTCAGCTCAAAACCGGATCCGCGCCTCCCTGGTGGCCGTGGCACCGTCGCCCTGTCTCCAGGGCCTGGGGAGCGAGGGTGAACGTCCAGAAGCACGGTCTGACCACTTACTTCATCGCCCAGCTTACCTAGTGGCCTCCTCGGCTGGTGAAACTGGCACCCCAGCCCTTTGTAGCTGCCCTGAGTCACTGGCTGTCCGCCACACACGATCCTGTCTGCCATCTCCTGCCCCCGTAGGTTCATCCACACTCCTCCCTTACCCTTTCCCACCCACCTTTACCCCGCTGACCCCCACCAGGCCAGCTGCCTCCACCCCATGTCTCCACAGCAGACCCTGCACTAGCCTGTGCCCCTGGCAGGGCTTGAACCCAGTAAAACTGCCCTGGCCCCAGGCAAAACCGGGATCCCGAGCGAGTCAACCGTGTGTGACAAAACGTGGCTGTGGTGTTAACCTGAGCTTAGAATGCCCCCCACGGAGCCAGGGGCAGCCCTCTGCTGGGCTGTCCCACCACACCTTCACCCAGTGGCCCTGTGATGGTCACAACGGGCTGTTTTGTTGAAATTCAGACACAAGCCCTGCAGGTGACTGACTCCTCCGTTCTCACAGGGACATGAATACTTTCACTGGGAAGGCAGATGCTAGGAAGGCAGAAGCTTCGGAGAGCTGGTGGGTGGGACTCATTGTCCCCGTCCACCTGGCTTGCCCTGAGGCTGTGGAGTGAGCGCGGGGACGGGCAGGCACACAGCAGGGACAGAAGGCGCAATGTTGGTCTCACCGGCCTCTGTGGGCAGCCTTTCGGGAGGCCTGACTCGGGATGATTTCTGTTTGTTTTCTCATGTGACTGTCAGGCAGGCGAACCTCGGGCCTGCCCTCTGCGTCACACGGAGACAGTGTCAGGGCCCCTTCCGCCCGGAGGCCCCAGGCCGTGCAGACTGCACGCCACACGTGCGGCGTGTAGATCAGCCTAACCAGAGCCGGTGGGCTTGTAGCAGCGTCCCAGTCACTCAGGTGAAACCCGCTCTGGCAGCTCGGGGTTTGGCTGTGTCAGTGACGAGGGGAGCAGGTGGCGTAGTCAGTCCGTGAGATGGCCTATCAGAGTGGTCAGTGAACCCCGAAGCTCCGGGCCCACGGGCCTCCCCGAGACCTGCCGGTCCTTCGTCGCCCCAGGCCCCGCCGTCTGTGCCCGCTGTGGCCAGGTGTCAGCAGCACGGCGCCTGGAGGGAGTCTGTGTGTCCTTCCCAGCCTCTGACCTTCACAGCCGCTTCTGCTCGCTCACAGCCCGGCCGGCAGAGCAGCCACCTTGTTCTGCCCCAGCAGTAGCACCACACGCTTTTTTTTTTTTTTAATTTGAATTTTATTGACTTTTTACAGGGAGGAAGGGAGAAGGATAGAGAGTTAGAAACATCAATGAGAGAGAAACATTGATCAGCTGCCTTCTGCGCACCCCCGTTGGGGATGTGCCCGCAACCAAGGTGCATGCCCTTGACTGGAATCGAACCCGGGACCCTTCAGTCCGCAGGCCAACGCTCTATCCACTGAGCCAAACCGTTAGGGCAGCACTGAGACTCTTGTCCACGGTGGGCCTGTGAAGATCCAGGAGCACCCACACACGCTCGCAGCTACATCCACGTGAGGTTCACTTTCTTACCGGAAACCAGGAACTTCGTGTTAACAGAATGATTAGCTTCCGGCTGAGAATTCTGACAATTTAGTGCCACCATTTAGAATCAGGCTAAATTTGTCAAGGGACCGAAAGTGAGGTTTTTCAGAAATTATTAGCTGATTTTTTTCCATACAGAATTTATAGTCGCAATTATTATATCATGATGTTTCCAGGATAAAATACCAGCAGCTCCACTCTTCTGGCCACATACGGACCACATATATCAGTTTATTTTTGGAGATCTGAAGAATTGCCTACTGTAAATAAAGTCCCCAAGAAAATTTCTCCGGGAAAGAGGGGAACTTACGGTAATGTGGGCGATACGTTATTAATTAATAACTGTGACCAGCGCTGTTTCAATTAAAAGGACAGCGGATGAGAAGGCCTAATAGGATAGGCTGAATTCGAGTCCTGTCAGCACAAATAGGACTGGGCAAGGCGGCTTCTGAGGCCTCTATGTCCGATGTTTCAAACTAGCCTACAGGGAAACGGGACTTTTTCCTTAAGAAAGAGGGCCACGGGGGCTCCCAGAACCCAAGGACAGCGTGTGCTGATGGGAGGGACAGCTTCCCATTGCACTGAGACGGGCAGGCATCTGTGTCTCCGTTCAGAGGAGGAATTTGATTGGCACGGGTGCCCCAGGCACAGGCCCGGGGAGGGCAGGCAGGGCTGCAGGTGGCAGTATGGACGGGGTGGGAGCCGCTGGGGAGTGTGCCTGGAAGTGCAGCTATGGAACCTGGCTCAAGGAGGTGCCAGCTGAGCCCAGGGCCCCAGCACGGCAGGCTTTCTCCAGACCGGAGACGGGTCACAGAGATCCAGGCCGGGCAGGTGGGGTGTGCAGCAGGCTGGCCTGCGGCATGTGAGGGCAGTGGCGTGAGAGGAGCTGCCCTAGGAGGCAGTCTCGGAAGTGGCACGGTGATTCTGAAGGTGATGGGGAAGGGGTGTGAGGACTTGAATCTAGGGCAGTTTGGAGGTTCGGACCCTGAGGTCGGTCTGCTGTGGGAAGTACGAGCTGTCCTTGGCCGTGTCTAGAGCAGTCCTCCCCCTGCTTCCCTCCCCCCCCCCCCCAGGACACCCATCCTTCCAGGGAGCAATGGCCGAGCCATGGGAGCAGCCTCCTACAGGGTCACAAGCCCACGGCTCCGCTCTCAGCAAGAGCCCGGGCCGGGGAAGGCTCATAACGGCATTGCTACCCACCTTTCTCCTTCCTGTTGCTCATTTATTTTCCTTCAAGCACAGTTATTTTTAGAGCAATAATTTGGAGGTAATTGGCCTTCTACCTCAAAAACACCACCTTTTCCGTGAAGTTGTTGCGCGAAGAGGTTCTTAACCCTTCCTAATGGGATGTTGCCCTGAATACACTCCGGAGTGAGAAGGGGCCTCACTAGCCATTTGCCCCGATAGTTTTACTTTTTACTGTCCGTCCTCCCCGGCCTGTAATGAGAAAAACGAACTGCTGTGAAGACCGGTGGCCACACAGCTCCACCTGCTCTCCCCTGATCCGGAATGGCGGGAGGATCAGGGGGGCTGCCCTCAGGTAGCCCCTCAGCACTGTCTTTTCTCTCTCCAGGTCACGCCATATTTAAACTCACGTATCTAAGCAATCATGACTATAAACACCTCTACTTCGAATCGGACGCTGCGACCGTCAATGAAATCATGCTCAAGGTGAGTGGCCTCGGCCCTGGCACTAGGTGTTGGGGACTGGCTTCTGCTGGGTGGTCCTCAGGCCTGGCAGCACCTCCTTCACCCCTCAGTCCACATGCACACGCACGCACACACGCACATACACGCACACACGTGTACTCACGCATGCACACATGCACGCACGCACACAGGACAAGGCTCTCAGAGTACTGCACCCAGGGCCACACCACAGCTCCGCTGCCCTGCACCCACTTAGCCAAAGCAGGACGCCCCTCGGCTTCCTCCTGGCCCCCCAGAAATCCTGATTCCTCGTGGACTCATTTATCCTTCTTAGGCACCATTTCTTTCCTTCCATCCATTGCCAGAAGCCCCTCGAGGCTCCTGGAGCAGACTCTGAGGAAACTGCTATTATTTGAAGACACCTTACTGTACCCATGGTAACCGTATCAAGCTGTCCAAAACACACCCCACTCCGTGCTGGAGTTTATGTCCTGCCGCTCAACAGTGCTCGCCGAGCACCTTCGCGGGCCAGGCCAGTGTGTGAGACGCTGCGGGTCGGACTGGGAAAGGCCGCCCCGGCTCTTACTGGCCCAGGAGCCGGGGAGGCCTGAGGTGGCGTTTCTAAGGCGCTCCCAGTGCTGCAGCCGCTGCCCTGGGCACCCTCAGTGGCCCTGGACTGGCGGTTCTCAGACCTCCAGATGGAATCCTTTCCTCCAGCTGGTTCTCGGGAGCTGATCAGAACGAAGAGGAGCTGCTTCGGCAGAGCAGGTCGTAAAGCCAGGGGGGCTCCACGTCGTCAGATGCGTGGCCTCTGGGCGCCTCAGTGTCCCTGCCTGTGAAGTGGGGTCCTGGCAGCTGCACTGACCCACCCCACACAGGCCTGAGAGACACAAATCCCGTGAGAGGCGATAAACCCACTTAGGTGGTCCCTCATTCTCTCCCTGAGAGTGGAATCATCAAGGAATAATCATCGGAAGCAGCGAGGATCCACCAGGGGCCTGCGCAGTGCGGGCGGGCTAAGCACCGCACACCGTTTCGTGGATTCTTCACATCAGCGGGCAGCGCTGTCTACGGGTTCCCCCTGCCCCGGTGAAACGGCTCAGGAAGAAAGGCACCTTAGCCAAGGCCATGCTGGCAAAGCCAGAACTGGACCCCAGGCTCCAGACCCGGTGCGCCTACACCCCCAGAGTGTGCGACTGAGGGAGCTGAGTGGGGGTTTCACCAAAATGGAGTTGTTTTACAGAAAGATGCTGAGGCAGAGTCCTCATGGCTGCAAGGTTTCCACAAGCAGTAGATGAGGATTCAAAAGCTGCTGCTGCTGGGAGCCATCAGGAGCGGAGACAGAGTCGCACTGTCAGTTGGGGGGGACTATATAAGGTTCATGGACCACCTGGATCACAGCTCCCCTCACCCGGCCCCGGCCCCGGCCCCGGCCCCGGCCACGGGGACAGCGCCTGCCAGATGCTTAAAACCAGCGAGCTAAGAGTTACTTGCCGTCTCGTCACCACACAGCACAGGGAACTTGGAGTATTCAGGGCCTAGGTAAAGAAATATTCCATTACCCTGTCAGGGCTGGGGTTTTTTTTATAGCCAGCATTAAAATATTCAAGACTTGAGAAGGATTCTAGTAAAATTATAATCCTGTGTTTGACATCAAATAATTTTCACAACAGCAGATTGATGACGGAAACACAGGTTTATGACTTCGGTATGAGACCGTGGAAGAGCGAGTGCAGAGAAATCATCTCCCAGGACCACATGCTCCCCGAAGCAGATGCTTTCCCGCAGAATCCCCAGGCCCGCCGCCGCCCCAAAATGTCTGCTTTCATATCAATTGTTCGTAGAAATACTGCCTCCTGCACGAGGCTCCGGGCAGTCACGTGTGCTCGGGCCTGACTGGTGAGGGAGCGGAGGGCCCCGGTCCTGGCGGGAGGTTACATCTCGCCCTCCTGCCGACTCCTGTGGCGATCTGAATGCCGGCCTTGTGGCCTTCCCACGGTGTCTGCGTGATTGCACCAGCACCCGTGACTGCGGCCCCGCCCTGTCCGGGCGTTTGGCAGAAATGTTTCCATCACAGGCTCCCCAGGGCTCGGTCTTAGGCACTAGTAATCCTCTAGAATTCAGGTGTTTTGCATAAAATGAACGCTTTCGACTGAAACTGAAAGAGGAAACAAGGGCCAGAGGCTGATGTCAAAGAAACTATGATGAGCAGGCAACTCTCCATCCGGTTATTTTTCCTCATTGTGTTCCTCCCTGTGCAGAAACATTAATACCTCCCGTTTACTGAGCAGAACTTCACAGGCATGACCGCGTTCGGTCTTCACAGCTGGCCTGCAGTGTGGACGCGCCTTATCCCCATTCTGTGGATGAGGAGAGGGAGGCCCGGACCAGAGCGCAGAGGGCGGGCGTCAGCGGGCGGGCTGAGGGCTCCCGGGCCAGGCCTTCCGGCCGGGATGTGATTGAGCGGAGCCGCATGCGGTCCCCGTTCTGCAGGCTTTCAGATGAATCTCGGAGGAATCGTTGGTCTCTTCAAATCGGGTTCTTCTCATGATCGAGTGATGGAGGCTGTGGCTTTATTGGCCATGAAAACTCCCTATATTTTTATGCCTCGAGCTGTAAAACGCATTGAAAGTGAAGCACTCTATAGTGCATAAAATTGTGCAAGTTTTAAGCCACAGCGTATTAACCAGCTAATGGCAGACCAAAGGGCGTTTTTATCTTTTGATTATTACATTAATCTTCCATTAAAATTATCTATGTGATTATCACAAAGCACTGAAGATCACAAATTTAGGAACTAGTTGGCTACTTACGGATCATCGTGAAATGCTCTTGTCAAGTTGGGTGTGCCGAAAACACTAGGTCGGCTGAGATGCAAAGATTGCTCTCATTGAGAATGATAAAACCTTATTTCCACATGCTGTCTGGAGTGTCCTGATCGTCAGCAGGCCCTGCGGCCTCATGATTTATTGCTCTCAGCTGGTAACTTGGCGAGGCGGTGGGCCAAGCGTGTCAGGCCTTCTGTACGCACACCCGGCCTTTAATGCCTGCTGCTGGCGACTATCAGAGCAGAAAGTTTGGAGGGAGCTCGGCGCCGGAGCCTCGGCCTCGGTGAGGCATGCCGCCCCTCGCTGCCTCCGCTCCGGGAGGAGAATCCGCAGAGGTGGTGGCGGTTCCTGTGCCGAGTGCTCAGGTGCCTAGTCATGACTTGATGTCTGTGAGAGGGAGGAGACGTGGTGTTTGCTCACGAAGCTCCAGCCAGAGGAGCTGGGGCCGTGGGGGCAGTGCTGTCAGGGCGGGAGGGGGTGGGTGCCTCTGGAGAGGTGGGGCCCGGAGAACGGAAGGGGTGTCTGTCAGGGCCTGCACTCACCCACCCCGGTCCTGGCCCCGACGCTAGCTTTGTGACCTGGAGGACGTGTCATTACTGTCCCGTGCCTCAGCCTTCTCATCTGCATGTTGCAGTGATAAAGGCACCCTACTCGTAAGGCTCTTTAATCCTCGGAAAGCACTCCAGCCCTGCTGCTGCCCAGGCAGGGGCTGGTCCTCGCCGCTGGCGCAGGCCTGCTCACGGCACCGCTGCCCTTCCAGGCTCCTCCCCACCTCGCCTTGACCGCCACTGAGCTGCTGCTGAATGGAGAGCCTTGATTTGGTTTAGTTTTCATTCCTATGACGTTTTCGTCCTTCAGACGGGGCAGGTGGGGCTCAGGGAAGTTATGTGCAAGCCCAGGGGTGCACAGCGCCCCCACAGTGCTGGCGGGCAGGCCGTGCCAGCACCGTCCTCCAAGCCTGCGTCTCCCATCCTAATGCATCTCGGCCCAGCCTGCTGGGCTGCTGGGACCCTGCACTCCAAGCACAGGAGGCCCCGAGGGGCGCACACATGCAGAGTCCTATCCGTGCCGTCTTTGTCACCCTGGGAGAGCGGGTGGCTGCAGGCGCGTGACCCGTGTGTCCTCTTGCTTCCAGGTCAACTACATCCTGGAGTCACGAGCCAGCACTGCCCGGGCTGACTATTTTGCTCAAAAACAAAGAAAACTCAACAGACGCACAAGCTTCAGCTTCCAGAAGGAGAAGAGATCGGGGCAGCAGTGACCCCGGCCTCCAGCCTCCATCTGCTCCAGGGCTCAGAGCTGCCCCGGGGCCGCCGGCCAGCGCCCCCTGACCTCCGACCCCGGGGCAGGCCGGCGGGCCCCGGGGCAGGGCAGCCCTTAGGACGGGGCAGTGCCCAGGCCAGGCGGCCAGGGCCCCGCTGCCCGCCTCCCGGCCCGCCCGCACATGTCCTACAACCTGATCAAATTTCTTGAAGAACAAAAATGTACATTTCTTTTTCCTTTTAATAAACAGGTGTCCTCTTTATCACGGTTGGTATGACGGACCATTCTTTGGGGCAGAGGATTGATTATGTTATTCGCTTTAAAATCTGTTCCCATATTGAGCAGGCAGATTGGAAAAGCTGTGGCTCGATTTCTCAGAAGAAATGTTTAGGGCTTAGTCAATAGTGTTAACTCTGCCGTTTGTTTAAATGAGCGCAGTGCCTGGAGGAGTCTCTTTCATGCTAAGGTTAGGAAAGGGGCCTGGTGGTATGTGTGAGGCGGCGCCATCTCCCCTCACAGCCTCTCCCAGCTCGTCCCAGCACCTCCGACCTCGGGGGGAGCCGGGCGGGCTGGTCTTCAGGTTACGCTCGGCTCCCAGAAGCAAGTGTCCATTGCAGCTAGCGATGAGGCCCACGTGTGGGTTTTCCTGGGCGCTTCTCCGCTCTGCCCCCCGGGAGGCCGCGGTTCCCTTCCCTTCCCCGGCCTCACGGAGCCAGACTGGGAGCCAGGCCGGGAGCCGCGGCTCTCCACCCCCCACAGCGGGGAGCGTGAGCAGAGCGGGGCCCAGGGAAGCCTGCTCCGGGGCGGGAACGTCCGGCCACACAGCTGCCTCCGCGGTCCTCCCAGCCGCCGGGTCCTCCCGGCGACGTCCTCCCACTCCGACCCCGGCTCAGGGACCAGGTGTGGCCCAAGGACCTGCATTTCAAACCGTTGTCTGAACGGTCCGGGAAGAGGTGTGACGGGGACAGCATCTCAAAGCCCAGTGTTTTCCTCTGCACCCGGGTCGTTTTAACGAACTCCTCTCCTCCTGAGCTTTGTTCGGCCTTTTCTAACGTCTTCCACCCTCCCCCCCCAGAAACAAGAGAAATAATATTTGTAGCTTGTTCTCTGTATTTGAATTTTCAGCACTTTTATATTTAGATATCTTTGGGAAATGTAAATGACTAATTTGGTTATTAAACCCCGTGACATATTCAGTATTAAAATAAAAGTCCCCCACGTGCCGTCTCCGCGTCCTGCTTTGACTCCCGGACGCCCAAGGGCGCCGTCCTGGGACGGGGTCCACGGCGACCACCTGGGGCCGGGGCTGTGGAGCCGAGCGTCCGAGCGAGACAGGACGCCCCCTGCCCTCGGGGGACGCTGAGAGCATCGCCGCCTCCTGTTACAAAACCAACACCCTCCTCGTCAGGTGAGGTGCAGCACACACGCATTCACACGAGACGTGTGTCCACGGATGGGACTGTTTAAGGGGAACACTGCCACCACCACCCAAGTCAACCAAATTAAATACCAAGACTGTTTACCTTCCGCTCCCTGTGGGCATTGGGGGGTAGGGGGCGGAGTGTGTGCAGGCTCTGTGGCTGCACACAGTCCCGGCTCCTCTCCTCACCAGCCTCGTGACCTCTAGGTAAGTGGTTACCTTCCTGCGCCTCAGTGTCCAGGTCTGTACAATGGGATGGAAATGCCACTTCTCCCCCCGGAATCAAACCTGAGTGAGACAGCACGTGCTCGGTGCCCGGGCAGCAGGCCGTGACATCTGTCACTCAGTCCAGCTGCCTGAGCAGCATCTGCATGGTGCTCCCCAGTAGTGCCCTCTCCATAGGAGAGCCAGCTGCGCCGAGCCGTCCCCTCGAATTTCAGAGCCGAAGAGGCTGCCTGTGGCAGCTGCCAAACCAGCTTCCTCAGTGCCCAGGAAGGAGGGCGCTCAGGAGCCAGGCCATGGCCCTCTGCCCCCGGGACAAGGCTTGACTGGAGGGCTTGGCACCATCGGGCTACACCCAGTCCAGGTCCCACCCTTTCTCACCAACTGATGTAAAACGAACGGCTGACCGAGCACCCTCTTAAAAAGAGTCCAGATGGTGCTCAGGGTCCAGCTCTGTCTCCCGGTTGGTGTGTCCTTGGATGAGCTACTTTACTTCTTTGAGCCTCAGTGTCCCCTTCTGTAAAATGGGGACAATCATACTTCAAAGGGGCATTGTGAGGATTGTATGAGTTTGCTAGTCAGGATGGGCCAGGCTCTGCTGCAGCAACAAACAGCCCCAAGGCCTCGGTGGCTTAACGTTTCTCCTCACAGTCAGCCGTGGATCCAGCCATCCTCCCTCCCCACCCCCCCGCCATCTGCACCCCTCCATAAAGGTTGGGGTGCAGATAGCGGGGGGTGGGAGGGAGGGCGCTGGAGAAAAAGCAGCAAAATGACATACTGTGGTCCAAAAGTGACACCTGTCACTGCCCACTTCCACTCGTGTCTTTGGCCAGAATTAGTCACATGGTGACACCTGCTTCAAGGGGACAGCGGGGTGTAGCTGGCTAGTCCTGCACCAGTGCCTGCCTCTCAAGTCCTCAATAAGGCTACTATTTTACTAACCATATTTCTCAGTCCACCCTCTTGTCCATCTACCCCCCAATTTAGCAAACTGAGGCAAAGAAGCAAAGCCCCTCGCCCGAAGCCATGGAAGTCGGCTCTCCCACCTCCCACACAAGCTGTGCCCGGTGGCCAAACACCCCGGATCCCGAAGGCCCCCGGGGCACCGCAGGGGGGGACCCTGTGTTTGGGGAGCAGCCAGGAGAGGGAAGGGTTAAGCCTGCCAAGCTGTATCCCCAACAGACACCTCCGCCTAAGTGGGAAGTCAGTCCCATAGGGTGGTGTTCGCAGTGCAAGCCCGGAGAGTGATTTGTGAAGTCTCGAAGCCCCGTAATCTCGTCAGTGTAATGGGATTATATTTCAAATCACCGCGGCCTGTTCATTACCCGTCTAAACTCCTGTGACAGAGGAAAACTTGCATAAAACGCTCGGCAGCCCTCGCCGGCGTCCCGCTCCCCTCCCTGATTAGACAAACAGATGCTGAGGTCTGGAATGAAAAAATAATGCGCCCATTTATTCATCTTTCTGACAAGTCACAATAGATTTTTAACTGCCAATGAGTGACCTCCCAGAGGTGCCCGCCAGGCGGGGAGCGGTCATTTCTGCCCGCGCGGCCCCCTGCCCCGGGGGTCCTCCCGGGACCGGCGCTGCCACAGTCTGAGCCTCCTCCCGTCACCCCGAGGCCGCCAGCCCTCCTCCCGGCCACGGGGACACGGCCGCGGCCTGACGTCACCCAGCCCTGGGGAGGAACCCCAGCCCTGCCCTTGTCCAGCCGGATGAGGACACCTTTCACCTCCAGGAGCCTCGGTGTTCCCATCTGTGAAGTGGGCTGGCAGGAGAGCTCACGTCTATGGTGAGGGTTCGGGCACAGCTGGGGCTGGTGCAGTGCTGAGCGCCCACTCCAGGAGGGTCCCCTGGACGTCTGGGACGGGAAGGAGCAGGTCCCCAAGTGCCAGGCCCGTCCTCCACCCTGACCTCTGGCCTTTGGGCTTGGCGGGGGGGCTGGGTCACTGTCACGGAGCTGGCAGGTGGAGGGGTCGCGCTGCCTCCCTGCTCTGGTGCTGCCTGGGCCAGAGGTAAGCTGGAGGAGGGGCCGCTGGCTTAGGGCCCCTGGGTTCTGGCCTGAGGGGCCCCCCTCCTAGTTCTTTGGCTCCTGAAGAGTCAGGACCCCTGAGCTGAGCCGGACAGCCCCCACCTAGAGGGCCCCTGTGGCAGGAGCAGGAAGGGCCAAGCCTCCCCTCATCGGTCCCCCAGTCTCCACAGTCCCAACCCACCTCCTGTCTGGTCACATGTGCCCACTCCAACCCTCCCCCCTCCCCCCTCCTGCAGCAGACCCCTGGCCCTGCAGACAGGCAGGGAGGGCACCAGGGAAAGGATAAAGGGTCCCTGAGGCCTGGGGTCCGGCCCTGGAGCCCCCACACACCTCACGCTGTGGAACTCACAGCCAGGCCCACCTCCAAGCACCCTCCTCACGCCCGCCCGTGCCCCTCCCAGGAAAGGACTCAGCCCCAGACCTTTGAGAGGCAAACCCTCACCGGGGGCCGGGGGACAGCTCTGTTATATTTGGGTGCCCAGCCCCCTGCCCAGGGCCTGGCATGGGGGTGGTTGTGGCAGAAAGTGCTTGCTATACCTAAGCTCGGCCCTTCACCCCACAAGGTCCGGCACCCCCTCTGGGGGGGTCTGTTCTAGGTGCTCGGACTGCAGTGAGCGGGAACCCAGGGAACGGTGCCCGCGGGCCCCTCACCCGCTGGCACAGGGCCTGAGAGATATGAGGGCCAGAGCTCCAGGGCCGGGGCGCAGGCCAGGGCGGGACCCAGGTTGCTGGGGAACCAGGACAGGGGGCAGCCAGGTGGTGAAGGTTCAGAGAGTCTCAAGACTGAGCTGAGAATCTGCCTCCCTGCTGTGTGACCTTGGACCCATGACTCAACCTCTCTGAGCCATTTTCTCATCTGCTCAACTGGGACAAAATCCCACCTTCTTCATGGAACTGCATGAGGAGCAAATAAGATGAAGCATAGGCTGCGCACAGTAGGGGATCAGTAACGGGTAGCCATGGAGACAAGGATGCCCAGTCACATCCTCCCCCTGCAGGCAGGACCTCAGGGCTCAGGGGGCCACCCTGGCACCCCCAGGGGAGCCCAGGATCCAGCCCGGGGCCTGCATTCTCCCTCCGGGCCCACCACCAGCCCTCTCTCCCAGGTGCATGCTTCCTCAGCCCCGTAGCCCCAGGCAGGGTTCAGAACATCATTATGCATTAACTCTGTGAATACATAAGAAATACTGTGAGGCTAATCCTTTCTAAAATGATAAAATTTGTCTATATTATAGCATTCCAGCCCCCAGCTTCCTGAAAGC